ATACATGACTGTACAGACTTTGAACCCGGGTTGAAAACTCTCATGAGCCTAAGGCCCGGGTTCCACTGCGGCTCCGCGGCACTTGGCTGCATGCAGCGGAGCAGCGGTTACTCACCTCTCACAGACCTTCCTCCTCTCTTATCACGGCCAAGGTGACCAGACACATCATGCGAGTGGCATGGATGCAAGATCTCCTTTTGTTGGCCGTCGTCAGTGATCCATTGTGGTAGGCCTTCATCTGTTTGGCGAAAAAGGACCCCACGATCCAAGACGAAGTTGAGTGCAAAGCGTCCGCAGGAAACGAGGCAGGCGTTTGCAAGCAACGCTTGCAAGACTTCGTTGTAACACGCCACACGGCACTTGGCTGCATGCAGCGGAGCAGCGCGGTTCCACTGACACTCGCCATTCGCGGTACCGCGGTCGTGCTCCACACTTTTTGATGATGTTTCACTTGCCTGCGCGCGCGTGCCAAATTAAAAAAATCCTCGTATTCTGGCCTGCACAACGAATTAAAATTTGAATTTTAAATTTCTGGCGTACAAAACAATGCAAAGTACGGGAAACAGGTCGAGCCGCGACCACGGTTCGCAGTTTTTGGTCAAGCCGTATTTCGCCGATTATAAGTCGCAACCCATGTTCAGGTCTGAGCCCATAACACCTTTTTTGCAAAGCTATGGGTGAGCTTTCAACCTAGTCTTTGTAGCATGCCTAAAAGTAGTTTGTTGTTTGTGTTTTCCTTTAGCCAACTTGTCCTTCCTCCGATGTGGATGGCGTGGTAGTTTCGGCAGACTCCGTTCAGCAAGGTGCGGAAGAAGCTGATGTAAGTTGACCTTGCCCAGTGCGTATTTTATGCACTTTTCATGAGTGTTTAAGTAATAGGGGGTACTCATTTATGGATGACTTGCACGTCGTGAGCTTTCAACCTAATCTTTGTAGCATGCCCGAAAAGTAGTTTGTTTGTGTTTTCCTTTAGCCTACTTGTCCTTCCTCCGATGTGGATTGCATGGTAGTTTCGGCGGACTCCGTTCAGCAAGGAGCGGAAGAAGCTGATGTAAGGCGGGTAACTGGCGCCAAAAAATTGGGTACAATTGGTGGGTACCTCCTCGTGGTTGTACCTGGTAACCATTGTAGCACGCCATAGATGTCTTGAATGCATCTATCGTGTGTTACATTGGGCTAAATCCCACCACTTTCTTAGGCTTTCACTTTCAGACAGTGATGTGTATTTAGGACCTAGCATTTGCTTTGTTCATATTGTAGTTATATGATTCTTAGGTATGTGTATGATGTACTTCTGTGTCTTCTGACTGTAACATTATTTTAACTCTGAAAGAACAGATTTGATCCTTTAGGACTCCTTCATTTTCGACACATTCTCTGTACTGGATACATTGATGCAATCATTCTATGTAAAATAGAAGAAAAACGCTAGGGAACGAGTTGTGAAGCAATTATCCACGACTGTAACAAGATAATAGGCAGAAAGTGCGATAACAGGGCACACAACTGACAGGCTACTGAGACATTCAGTGTTGTGCCCTGTTAGCGCACTTTCTGACTGCTTGTTATCTTGTTACAGCCATGGATAGTTGCTTCATCACTCGTTCCGTAGTGTTTTTCTTCTATTTAACATTTGTATCCGAGCAATTATTGTACAATTCCTTTATATTTAAACTCGGATACTGGGCCAGTAATAAATGTAAAAAAGAGAAGAAATACATGAGAACGAGTTTGAATGGCGTTGTGACATGCATCGTCATGTATATCTGGTGTGGATGCATGTACATTTTACAGAAGGGTGTATGCATGTACCGTAATGTCGTGTATTGTATATCAGGCTTATACTTCAACCAGGTATTTATTTGTATGTCAACATGGAAACCAGGCTTCTATTGACTATACAAGACAGGCTTTTTAAATACTAGACACTAAAGTATGCACGTTGTATAGGTGTAATGTGTATATAACCCAGTGGGTGTGAACATCCCCGGTTGGGTGTTCATTGGGTGGTATACATGTACGTTCACATTTGACCAATTTGGCCAATAATCAATAGATGCCTTTCCAGATTCATCACATTGTATAGAGCTAATAACAACTACTACATGTAGTAGCTTTTATTTCTTTCGAAAATTATTTGTCGCATGGTATGCCATAGGAGAGATCAATGTTCTTCTCAATGATTCGGCTTACAAATGATTTCAGGAAGATCGTGCACTCTCAGACACACACGCCTCACATCTTTGGAAAGCCACAGCCCAGTGCGTGTGAACATCCCCGGTTGGGTGGTATGCATGTACGTTCACATTTGACCAATTTAGTCCAATAAATTATAATCAATGGAAGACAATCGCCTTTCCAGATTCATCACATTGTATAGAACTAATGACAACTACTAGTAGCAAGCTGCTATTAGGCGAGGCAGTAATTCTCGCTAATGTGCGCAAGCTCCCACTGCAGCCACTGAAAACCTTACACACACCATCTTCAATCCAAGTGGTCTCTTTGCTGCAAATCACAATAATTCTCAATCAAATTTTCGGCCAGGAGCCATCATCAGAATTGAGGAGAAAAACAAGTGAGGTGGACCTATAACAGGCAACACAAAGTGGAACGAAACTTCACCATACGTGATAAAATTGCACCATCCTTTCGGCACAGGTACACACATACCCATGCACATGCCAAAACACTGAGACACACACTAATACTCACACTCGCACCAACACTCGCAATCACACCCACACAAAAATACCATTGTGCCTGAAAACAAGAAATGAATAGTGGTGGAACTATGACAAAAAAAGAAAGGAGATGAGATTCCGTCGCCAAACTGCACTTACGCTACATTGTGCTGAACTACCGGTATAATTATAACAATGGCGTGAACAAGCATACATGACAACAGGACAGGACAGTGGCAACAGAAACAATGATCATCATCCAAATTTTCACATTGTCAATTGTCAAGCAACACCCAACCACGATCATGATTCACCTTAGGATGGCGTCTGGAGATGTGGATTGCCTCCCTTATCCGGCGGTTCACGCATAACACTTCCGTTGCGAGTATGGATGGTGATGTGAAGGGAATGAATGGCGCTGTGGATGGATGTTGTAGTGGTTGGTGCAATGCGCAGTGCTCTCCCCTGGGCTTCTGCGGTGCACAGACTCTCGCTTCTCGGTAATGTTCCTGGACTCGCTCCCTGACACACTCCGTCTCTCCCACATACTTCTCTCCACACAGTAATTCTTGTGTCGGGATAAGTCATACGGACAGCGAAAGTCACAGCCGCAGACACACACCCTCACCCACACACAAAGCAGGTAGCGTGATTACAAAGCTATGCATGTGTGGCCGACAAAGTTACGGAGGTATAACTTGTTCTCATGACGACACTTGGACACCAGCTCTGACCTCTTGTAGAGGGAGCGGGTCCCGGGCAATCTCTAGCTTCCTGGCCAGACACAGACAAGATGTTACAGTATGGTGCAGCTCCACTAAGTTCTTCATGTAGGCGTACAACATGCATGACTTGAGGAGTTCTTCACGTAGGTGTACTGCATGGATGGCTTGATAAGTGCTGACGGTGATTTACACCCAGAAATCAAATCCAGATCTCCATAATCTCCATACTTCAGCTAGCCATGTACTGAAGTACTAGCTGTACAGCACAAATTATGCTAAATGGCTCGGCCATCCGTATTGACTCTCTATTGTATAAGCGATACGAACGCTGTCGATGATTTGCATCTACAAATCAAATCGAGATGTCCATCAATGTTCAAGTAGCCATGTACTGAAGTACCAGCTGTACAGGTTCTCACAAATCCTGCTAAATGTCTCCAAGCCAAGTACCAGCAGTACAGCTATTGAAAAATTGTAAGATCTGAGAGGAAAGCCATAAAATAAGAATTCTCACAAACTCTCATAAACATCTCGGCCATCGCGAGTGATTCTCTACAAAGGCAATGGAAAGCAACAGTCACAAACTCTCATAAATACCTCGGCCATCGCGAGTGATTCTCTACAAAGGCAATGGAAAGCAACAGTCACAAAAGTCTTCGAAAAGTTTCTAAATTCTACTCATGCTACTGGAGCAGTACAGACTGGACTGGAACCGTTTTCGCGGATGATCCCATCAATGCATGGCCCAGTTGCTGCAGTCCGCGAAAACGGTTCCACAGCAGACAGTGGTCGCAGTTGCCTGGAACCGTTTTCGCGGATGGTCCTACACCAGAAAATTAATCCCTGAAACCGTTTTCGCGGCTAGCCCGGCTAGCCATACATCAGAAATTAGTGGGCTGTGGATTCCAGGGGGTTACCGGTGTATGCCTGGAACCATTTTCGCGGAGGAACCATTTTCGCGTTTACACCGGACATGTCGTCGACAGCACAGTGTCGGCAGATCCTCGTTTGTAGGCTGCAGACCCGGCAGACGTTTTGATCATCCCGGCCTGGTGGTGAGATTTTGGACCCGGGAGAACTAAAAAGCTGCTCGCATCCCAGGGTGCTCAGTTTCGCTCTACCCGCGCGATTAAGTTTCCAGGTAACGGCCCCTCTTTCGCGGCCTGCCGAGCATAATATACCTCGCCCCCCCCCCCCCCCCCAAGCGTCGAGGAGGTAGGAGCGCCGGGCGCTCTGGCCTTTTGGCGGGATTTTACGGTAATTGTAGTTTTGTCAACAAAACCGCTTCTCGGATTTGTATTTTTCCGTATCCACCAAAAAAAATAAAAAAATAAAAAAAAACCCATGCACACTATCCTTCGTTTGTACGTAGTACGAACGTATTTGACACACGTGCTGTGAGTTTTCGTAACCCCCAAAACTGGCAAAAGTGTGCAACTCTACATATGGGGTCTCTTTGTGCGTATCATTCATTTTGTATATCGTACAGACTTTCAACTGAGCCTGAACTCGACCCGGGTTGAAATTTCTCATGTAACCAAATTTGCAATGCCTAACAGTATAGCATTAGTGCATGAACCCGGTACATGTAGTCCCGCACAGTTCTTCTTTCACAGTCATCAGTACCATTGCCAAGAGAAGGAGCACTTTGGCCCGGCTTTTCCGAAAAGCACTACTAGTACTGGTATTTCTCTGTACGACCAATCGGCATTTCGCAACAGAAGGAGGGCTGTCGAGAGAGGGAACCCAAGTTCCTATGTGGCATAATATCTTTGGATCTCACAGGCTGTTTGCAACGAAGACATCATGAACGCTTCAAACTTGTGTGTAAGTACTCCATATTTCGAAAACTGTTAGTTTTCTTTGTTGTCACTTGTAGACATCTACTGTGTTATCAAGAACATAATAATATTATGATAAGGGGTCGTCCGTATTATTCGAAAAATTAAAAAATCCGTCCTTATGCAGAAAGGCCAAGGGGGTGCAAGAGCGCTGGCGGAATTTAATTTTCGATTTTTCGTACTTTTTTTTTCGTCAGTGACTTTCATACACTTGTTGCACTGATATGTAGTGCACTGTAGACGTAGTGTAGGATCGCAAACACCAGTATGATATACCGGTACATGACTCTTTTGTAGTTGTAGGACGTGCATGGCCATCGGTAGACCTACTCACTTTACTTAGCTACTAGTACTTGACATTCATGTACATGTAGGTGCAATCAGTGAACATGGGGAGGACTCAGGAGTTCTTATTTTCGAGCCGGCATCGGTAAAAATCAAAAAAATTATGGGAAAAAATGGGAGGTGGGTGGGTGGGTCAGAGAGAATTTTGCACAAAGACGGATTTTTTAATTTTCGATAGTTACGGACGACCCCTAAGTGGAAAACGGCATGCCCTTTAACCCTTTGGAGTCCGTAACTTTTTGCTTCCGCAGAATTTGTGGCAGTCACGAAAATGCGCACTCCATTTCCAACATAACTTTGGTTCTACTTCACCGATTTTGAAGATCTTGGGTTCGTTGGAAAGCTCTTGATGAGAGAAATACAATGAGCCCAAACTCGCCAAGAGCACTATTCATTGTCCGCCACAACGCGCCCCAAACGCGAGTCCAGCTCCAGATCTGAGACGAAATCGGTCTCCTGTAGCCATTTCACTGAATCTAGCTCGGAACTGTTCAAATTTTTTCGAGTAGAAGCTTACCTTGCCGTGACTTCTCGCCGCGCCGGTCATGACATGTGCCGCCTGTCATGAAGCTGGGAAAATCCCGTTTTTTCACGCACTGCTGACTCGCAGCACGCAGCGCAGAAAATTGGAAATGTTTGATCGCTCGCCGCTCCCTCAAACTTCATCGGAGAGACTTCGCACCTGTTCGAGGCGATAGTTGAGAGTTTTCTCTACCATCTAGACCCTTCGATTGTTGAATTTCGTCAAGATTTGGCAGAGAACCGAAAGTTTGACTGCGCCCACATGCATACAAAATGCCCATGGTTCGAAATCGAACCATGGACTCCAAAGGGTTAATACAGTTGTGGCAAGTGAAATCCAACACTTGGCATAAAGGACTGCACCATGCAGTCTTTAGCCCCTGCAGCCCTGCATACGGACAGTACAAGGTCATTTGCTATTTTTGGACACTCTAAATAGCACCCCATTATGTTGGTTTGTAAAAAATAAAATAAAAAAATTTCACGGTTCGCGTGAGACTCGGCCAAAGGCCCAGTTTTCCGCATCCGCAGGAACGCCACCACCCTCTTGGATCAAGGCGCAGATGCAGCTCCTAAACGGTGGGAGGTGAGTAGATCAGACCCACCACAAAGTGGTCAAAGACCGAAATCCCATTCACTGCATCCATGTTTCCCTCGTGCCAGGCCACGAGTTCCCAATTAACTGTGGGTCGCAGCACGGCTGGAAAAAATCCTTCCGCTTCCAAGCAGGACTTGAACCTGGTACCCTCTGTTTCTCAATCATGGTCTTAGACCATCCCACTATGCCTGCCTGCCTGTTTGTAAGATAACTTAAAATTCTTTCTTGCTTTCTACTGGCACACTTATACTTTACCACCACCCCACACACCTGAAGGCATAGAGTTGAAGCATGCGGTCACAACTTGACCTGATTCATGCATTGCCCTGCTCTAGTAATGGTTCATGAATCCGCCCAGCCCACATTCCTTCTCCGTTTCTCTCCGTTTTTCTTTCCTTTCAGTTGCATCTTTCTCTCTGCTCTGTTTTATTTTCTCTTTTCGTTCGTCCCTCTTGATATTTGTACTTTGTACTGTTGAGGCAACGAACTCAAATAATAAAAACCAAACCCAACCAAACCATTGAAGGTGTCTTTTTCTACTGCTTTTTCAATGCGAGCAATTATTGGACAACTAAATAAAATAGCATCTAGCAGCAGTCTGCAATGGTGTGAACAAGTAAAACTTGCCCAGGACATGAAAATGGGGTAAGGCTATGCCTATAAGACCGGCTGATATGAGTTCTAATGACAGGCCATAGCAAGCTTTTCAAGGCTTTTCAATGTGACACACAATTTAAAGGGTCACTAAAGGTTTTTCACGGACGTCATATTCAAGAACAGAGGAGAGCACTCCAGAGTGGCCAATCTCCTTCTCATATTTCGCAAAGAGTGGAGGGCTAGAGCCGTAACTAGCCGCTGCGTCCTTCTTGGTTAGGAAGTGCTCACTGGTGCCAGGTGAGTGGAACGCTCGCACTGCTAAAAGAGATTTCTCCTGACCAGAACCACTCCACAAACGCACCGGTTGAGAAGCCTAGGAGACTCTTCCAGGCGGATTCAAACTGGAAGACGTAGTCCCTGGAGTTGATGGAAGGGATACAACATCCCCCATGTCGACATTCTCTCCGTTATGCGACGTAGAGTCAACGGAATCCTCAATCATTTATTATTTAATCGAAATTTTCAAAACTACTCATTACATTACCTAAGAATAATAAAGAAAACGCCCAGAAAGAAACGGCCTTCACCGCTAAAAATTGGCACGAAGAAACTTGAGGACCACAAGAAGACACACTTGTCAAAGATTTGTCCACCAAGGAAAGGACAACAACTCAGGAGGATTCTACTTCCATATTTAACTGATTTTTCCAAAAATTACGACATGTCCAAAAATTGCGAACCACCTCGTACATGTGTTACATACAACTTTATCTGTCTGATGACAAAACTCGTACTCATCACAGTCAAGGTTCAAAAGATGCTGGCAAAAATGAATAGGGATTGGATACCAATACTCCTTATGTGTACCATGTTTGTGAACTGTGTGTATCTACACTGTGACCTTTCGATCTGTTTGGGATGCATACGGCTCTATAGTACAAATTAGGTGCAGTACATTACATCATTGGTGTCCATTTGTGGCGCTGTCCCCTATGACAAGTGTCGGATTTCACTTGCCAAAACTGTAGATCCGCAAACAGCAAAAGTTTCACACATCACGTGGTCTAAATCTCATATTGTACTTTCACCGCTCGTGCTGGTCATAACAAGCAGCGGATTAAATGTTCCAGCAGGGGTCTCATCGATTGGCCAATCTGGATTGAGTGCGGACACACGGTGTAGTCCGAGCAACGCTGGCCCAATCGAACCAAACAAGGGTGTAGTTCGCAACATGTACGCATATTGAACAAAGATGATGTGAATGTTGTCAAAAAAGCACCAAAGTTGTTTGAATTCTTTATTCTCACGATGGCACCATCGCCAAGAAGAGATACATTTATCAGAAGGTGAGATTGTGGGTTAAACAGTTGGAAAGTGATTTACATCACTTTAAACTTTACAAGTATGGGTGAGGGTGAGCGCTGCAGGACCAGACTGAGTTAATCAGCAGTGAGCAGATTTCTTGTTTGAAAGCAGGTCGGGAGGAGACGTCATGAATGCTAGCAGGGAGGGCATTGTAGTATTCTAGGGACTTGTACAGTGGGGAGTCTTTACAGCGATCGGTTCTGGAGGGTGGGAGGTGCCAAGTGCGTGCGTCCCGAAGGCTGTACCTGAGCGGGGGTGTTGAGCATGCGTATGTGTTGTGGGGCATATTGATATTTTATGGAGTGAGCAAGCTGTTGTTGTTTTTGTTGTTTATTTAATATACATCGCATGTCAAACGGGCACTTCTGCCCAATACCGTAAAGTACCGTTGATCCGCCCCCACCCCATGTCGTTTCCCAGCTGGTTTTTCGCCAGGGGGGTGGGAATTAGATCAAGGCTGTCAAGTGCAGTACGATGTACAACAACTTGGAGGATCAGACTCGATGTGCTAAATTGTGCACATTCTCATCCTGGATTGGCACATATTGAGTACAGCAGTGCAAGCGCCGGTTCAACATCGTATTTCGTTGTCTACGCCAAAATCGCTTCACAGATAGAAAATCGACAGGTGGTGGGAATTAGAGAGGCGGCGGATCAACGGTACTTTACGGTATTATGAAAGCGATGACAACCAGTAAAAAGAGTCAGAGATGAAGAGAAAGTAAAATTAAAATTATAATACGAAAATGGAAGTAACAGTGAGGGGAGGCAGGGTTAGGACGAGCAGGAAAAAGGTTTATATTATAAACATGGGAAATTGTGGACACAAGGTATGCTATCGATTTCCATGTTTAAAAAGTTCCTTGGCTCTCCATCTGAGAAAAAGAGATGTCAAATTTACAAGTCGGGTCATCGTAGTATGATTCTATCGAGCCTCATCAGCAGGTTACGAAAGCCATTGCATTTAACCGAATACAAATACGCGAGCATGCGTTTGAATCCACCGTCAGATACTAGCGACTTCATATTATCGGGCAGGCCATTCCAGAGTCGGTAGCTGGCTAGACATCTCGGTTGAAACACCTCCTCCAGCAACGAATCCACATACATAGAAAGGTACGCACTCACCCGTCAGATCAACAGCTTCCGCAGATGTATCGTGCAATACGGCGAGAAGGCACTCTCCTCAATAGGCAGCTGAAGTCACAGTATTGCATCAGAGAGTTCGAAAATCGTCGCCATGACCCACGAGGCTAATGGGCCAGTATCAATAGCTTGTCTGGTAGAACAGCAGTGAGGGCTGCACCAGCAGCCACACTCGCTGATCTGACGACTACTAGTGCCTTTGCTGAGATCGTCCATGACCCTGCCAGACCAGTCGAGGTGCCCCTGCCTCTTGCAGACCCCAATGGCGCTACCCTTTTGGAGTTTGATACTGTCAGCGTCGATGTCATCTCGAAGTTGCTTGAATCTCTTGCATCCAGCAAAGCCACCGGCTCCTATGATATTCTGTCCGGCATCCTGAAAAAATGCAGAGATTAAGTCTCGTATCCCCTAACTTTTATCGTCCCCCATTCCCTTAGGTCTGGCATCTTTCATGCTGCCTACACAATTGCCCATGTCTGCCCTGTTTACAGATCCGGTGATAAGACCTCAGCCACCATCTACAGACCAATCTCATTGTTACATATCGCTGCCAAGATCCTAGAGAAGATTGTCCACAACTAAGTCACTTCGTATTTCACCAAGAATCCAGACATATCTGCCATAGCAGCTGAACAATTTGCGTATCTCTCACATCATAGCTCTGAGGATGTCCTGACACTTTCCATAGACAGAACTAGACTAGAAGTCTTTGCGAATATGGGCAAGGCGTTCAACCGTGTGCACCCCACAGGTCTACTGGATGAGCTAGCCGCAACTGGCGTAGGCAACACTGTCCTCAAGTGATTCTCAGACTACTGTAAATATACAAATTTTCGGCAGCTCTATAACTTCGGCTATATTCGGCACCGACTCAAAACGCCTAAATCAAAACGCCGATGAAATTTTTCACAGCATCTGTCGTACTATACCATGCCCTCTACCCCACGCCGAAAATAAATCGCCGCCGAAATGTCAAAAATCGTGAAGTGCCGAAATTTTGCAGCGCCGAAATTTTGTATATTTACAGTATCTCACGAATCGCAGTCAGCAGGTTACTGTCAGTGGTGACAAGGGTGACACCAAACCCTGTACAAGAGGGGTCCCCTAGGAGTCTGTTGTCGGGCCTTTGCCTTTCTGCATGTACCTTCGCCGAATACCCGAACTTATTCGCGAGAGTATGGTGCAGCTGCACGCTGATGATATTGCGTTCTACGTATCCGGCTCTGATGTGGCTACAATCATGCTACGCGTGCAGGATAGTATGCGGTGCCTAGAGCATCACCTCGATGAAAATGGCCTTCGGTTCAACTCCTTTAAGACACAGGTCATGTTGATGCGGCGTCCTGCCCTGCCTGCACGAGCCCAGCCTTGTAAAGTGTACCTGACCTGTAAAGATATTGTCAGTTCCCCTGTCTCTACTGTGAAATACCTCTGTATACTAATTGATGATTTTTTTATCTAGGATATGCAAGTAATGCGTATGTGCACTGTTTGAAAACTATCCCATATACCCAGGCTGGTAACGGTCAGCCACATTGCGATGAAAAATGCATTTGGTTTAGATAGAAGTACAGGTTCCTGCACGAGTACGAGGGCAGTACCGCGGAATCCAGCCCCCGCCGCGATAGGGGCAAGGGCTGGATGAACAGCGGTACTGTCCGAGTATGAGTGACTGGAACGTGTTTCCCGTGTGCACCCAAGCCAAATAAAGAGATACATGACAGACTACAAAGTGTAGACACACCTGCATTGTGTTTTGTGATTGTTTTCTGGTAAAGTTTTTTGTAGTAGTCCAGAGTGCTTTTTTTCTCGTGGTGCCATTGACAGTGTTGACTGGGCATCGAGCATTCCGGCTGTTCTGTTCCTATGGATTTTTCCAACGTCTTGATCGGAAACCTCGGCAAATTGCGCGGATCCTGCAGGTTGCTGAGCATTGCGCGCTTTGGTTGAGGCTCATCCGGCTCGTCCAAGATCTCCTTCGCGAGCGACTCCACAATAAAAGTTTCAGTCTCTTCCTCAACTTTTCGGAGGAGCTCATTCACCTCGCCAATATCGTTCAACAAAGGGGCTTCTTTTCTCCCAGTTCCAGATCAAATGTTGGAGCGCCATGATGACGTCACTTGACGACGGGCAGTGGATCCAGTTCCATCACCTTTGAGCAGGCAGGACCACGCTTTCCAGCCCGCGCTGTTTGATCTGTCATTGGTCAACTCCAAGGCGCCAATCACGTGACATACGGGAATGACCCCAACTGCATTAGTTCTACAACTGTGTCATCTGTATTCGTTTGAGTAAAGAGTTAATTTGAAACTATACGGTTTTGTCTATCACTACTTGTCATCAATTCCTAGCACCTCCTTCAATCACTGTTTACCCTGCGTTCAGCTGGCCTGCACACAAATGCTCGTACTCGTGACCAGGATACAGCTGCCTTAGTATTACCTACTGTAGAAATTGAGTGTGGACTGCACTCGGTTTCATTTCTGGCGGCAGGTCGGTGGAATACTATTCCTTCAAATTGTTGTCGGGCACAATCTGCTGATACATTTGCTCACCTCAAAAAGATTCACCTAGGGTTCCCTGTAACAATGGCGGGGCCATGCTTGTTGGGACTCCCTAGTCTAATAAACACTACCAATACTTCTACTACTACTAGCCCAGCCACCTTCAGTTCTCTGCCCTGCTAGAAGCGCATAATGGCTTCCTTTAAATGCTTTTCGGCTAAATGGGTTTCTGTAGTATAGCGGATTAAAGAATAGGAAACGTGTCACTCAATATTGTATTATGCTATTTTGTATTTAGAATGAGGTCTGTCTCGTTATCCAGGAAACGACCAATGAGCAACGTTGCCGCCAAGGGCCTTATCAGAGTTTAAACATGACAGAGCTTGGAAGCTCAGGGTCTTACGCTAAGCTTTTCTTGCCTAGCTCATGCATGTTATTAGAACTGATGGAAAGGTTTTTTTTTCCATTTGGCTATAGGGTTTTACGTCGACCATGACGGCTACAATGCCCAACCATACCACAACGAACTGATCGGCTACATCATTGTACTGCAAAAGTTTCCATCTGTTCGAATAACATGCATGATGAGCTAGGCAAAAAAGAATAGCGTAGGGCCCTGAGTGAAAGAAAATAACTTTCTCTTTGCATTCAAAGGTACTGTAACAGGTAGCCGAGTGGTAGGCGCGGTGCAATTAACACGAGTTATCTTTTATTCTACTTCTCTCAGGTACACACCTGGGATATAATTTTTAGTAAAAGAAGAAGCGGCAAAATAAATAACTTTCTTTCCGGTGCACACCTAGAGGTAGACTACTTCTTCTTCTTCGAGTTAGCTTTGTCGTTGCTATCTAATCTCAAACAAAACAGAAATGCGCAGCCGCTTTAATGCAGCAGACGCCGTACGCTTACATGCGGAGATACACTAAAATATACATCAGGCAAAGCTCCGTATTAGTTCCGTACTACTTCCGTATTGGTCGGGCAGGGATACTACAGTACCGTATTTTCCGGGGTATAAGCCGCACTTTTTTTCGCTAAAAATCGGACCAAAATCGCCCCTGCGGCTTATACACCGAATATGCTTGCGCGAATGAATGCTTAGCATACATCAGTATGGATGCTGACGTCATGTGACATGTCATTCAACTCAGCTTCGCGCCTGTGTTGCTATCCCGGCACTTTTACTAGTTTTAGTGCATCAGTGGCAGCGAGACTGAAGATAGTGCAGATGACATGGAGTGATCTGTAGTCAACACAGCAATACACCAACATCTCTGCAGCAACCTGTGGTGCACTAACACTTCATAATCTGATCTAACATGGTATTTAGCTCCGTAACCATAATAAATTTGTAGAAAGGCCATTTGTCAATGAGTGTGAAAAATCTTGGTTTGTGGGTGCGGCTTATACTCCAAATACCAACTTTTAGTCAATATTTTGCCTCAAAAAGTGGGGTGCGGCTTGTACCCCGATGCGGCTTATACCCCGGAAAATATGGTAATACGACACCGTCTACCACCTTGATGACCAAGGCGAAAAAGCATAGTGATGTTATAATTTTTTCATCTCTCCTAATTTACTCAAGACATAACCTAGGATTCGAACCCGCACTATCGCAACGTATGCATCCCCCCGATACACTTCGCATACATACTCATTCTTCCAAGCTGCTGCACGTTATGATCTTGCATTTGAAAGCCCTATTTGAATATTGTGGCGAGCTGTCTCTGATGGTACAGTACGAGACAGGTACGGGATAGCGCCAGGCATGCCGACGTACGCGACGGCAAAAACAAACAAACACATGGCATTAAAGCTGTGTGAACCCTGGCTAGCGCAATACGTTACTGAAGTAACACCTTTTGCATAGCTACGGGAATAGCAAAGTCTGGTAATTCGAACCTCAAAACGGGCATATGTTCTGGGGGCTGGATAATTGGAATGCCCTGGCATACTGGGGTTTGATTTATCCAGATTCTACCTATATTTTTGCACCTCAGCGTTGATTTTCTCATCTTGTCCGCAAAATTAGAATGTTTAGTGTCCTTGTGTACGTATACAAATACTATGTTTAGGTAATTGATAACACTGCTGTGTTGTATTTTTGAGTTTCTACCAGAAGCCGTAACGTTTTCTGTTCTGTTCTGGTTGTGCGTCTGGTCATTTCCTTTGGATATTCGCAGGTCTTATCGGTGGCTGTGATTTGTATGGTGCTAGCTTGGAGTGAACCTTCCAAAGCCTGTGTTCCATGTACATGTAACGGCGGTTTTGTCATGTCGTGCCAAAACATTGCCAAAATGTGAGTTCTACATGGTCTGGTGTTTGAAAGCTTTAACTTACGTATTCAAAGCAGCAATTAGAAATATTCAGCACTTGTGCCCATACTAGTCTTCACATTGAACACTATTGATGGATTGATGGATTGATGGATTGATGGATTGATGGATTGATGGATTGATGGAATTAATCTTTTGATCCTTTTGAATGAATGAAACAAGTTTTGATGCAGATAATACATTAGGGTCTTTTCAATAACGTTGTTGCATGCCTTTTGCTATACAAACGTCAAGGTGATACAAAGGCACAAAGTCGCATAGATCAACTGATTTGCTGAGTTGGAGAACCAGCTTTAGAGTTACACAAACAGGCGGTGGCGCCTCCTTTTATACATGTGAGCGACATAAACGGCATGGCAAGGTTATTGATAATAGTTATGGGAAGTGATGGGGAGGGGAGGAGAAAAAATCACAAGTGAAAGAAGTCACAACTGTAAGAGAATAAATATATTAAAGTCGGATGTTGAACCAACGATAACTGTAGAAATGAAAAGGACATTTGAATTCGAGTTAAGAGTAACTCTCCATCACTGTAACTAGATACTACATACTAGTATTGAAACGATCTCACCGGGAACTTGTTAGCTCGCTCGCCAGAAACTCGGCTCGTTTTGCGGCCAGCTCGTTTGCACTAACGAACACCATACTCCGTACACATGGCAGTACATGTCGACCGGGGAGTCATAAAATATGTTACGATTCCCTGGTCGATAGAGAGTCCAGTCCCACGCAAAGTGAAAATCACTCGCAGTTACAGTGTCTGTATGCCTGCACCACACTTGAGTTGTTTGTGTTGTCGTTGCAGCTTTGGTGGACTCTACTGATGTCTTGTTCCGCATCTGAGTGAAAGTTACGCTCAGTTGTTTGGAAGTTTTCTCCCGCGATGCAGCGAAGACTAGGGCTACTTGTAATCTTTGCAAAACGGTCTATTCGTACAAAGGCTACTCAACCACGGAGCCGAAAAGACATCTCGACACCAAACAGCAGTCCAAAGTGAAGCAGCAGCAACCCCAATTATGCCAGTGGTGATAATTTGCGGTGATAATTTGAACCAGCTGAAAAAAATCAAACTTTGATAAAAGTATATTCAAAAATTCATATTTGCCACATCAATGAAACTCGTTAGCTCGCTCGATAACTTGCTCGTTAGTGGAACTGATCGTACGTTTTTTTATAGATATGCTCGTTTCAACACTACTATGTACAGTCAGAAAGTGCAAGACCTAGGCACAAAACTGACAGAGTACTGAGACATCTTGAATCGTGGTTCGACCTTATTGTCCATTGGTCTTGCCAGTATCGTCATCGCAATGCATGAACATCCGCAAACGTCCTTCACAGCGGAGACTTTCAGCTCGTGCTTATCTTGCTTGCGCTCACCTTTCCCTCCTGATGTTATTTCTATAACTTAGAACTTTCCAAGTTGGAAGGCTGTTGGAGTGCACATCCAAGATCTGCTAGAGCTGTTAGCCAGTTAGTTGTGAAACCAGGGCTGTTCCGAGTGCGACATTTATCAATATGGCGGCGTACCGTAGCAACCCGCATCGCAACAGCTCGTGAACGCACAGCGTACCGACGCGTGCAGTCTTTCTGCACATTTTCCAAATTTATCGAAGAAAATGCAATGAATATAACTAAATGCGCACTCATATCACAACCATGGGGACGAATAATGTATTCCAGAACGTTTTCTTGTCACAATTATCAATGGAATTCGTGACTAAAGAGAATGATGAAACTACAATAGGATTTATACACTTGGAGTGGAACAGCGAGGATACAAGCATAGTAAGAAAAATAGCACAAACCTAGGAACAATTTGCACAGGTAATAAACTATAGGTGAGGTGAGAAATGATAGGAAATTCAGCAAGTGCAGTGTGACAATGGACATGCATTTGCAAGTGTGTGTGAGTGCGAATTTACTGGAATAGCGTAAGCGCGGTGACATTTTCTTTTTGTTTACAAAGATTTGGATCGCGAATGTAGACTGCTTCTAGAACTTTCAACTGCTTGAAACTACTTGCAGAACGAACAACTCTGAACCAAGAATCATCATAATTTTCACGACACACGGGGTTAGACAACAAGTGCAATTTAATTGCCGATGTATTCTTCTTCTTCTCACTGCCTCCGCCTTCACTTGCTTTCTGACCGCCACCGTCCTTCACACCATCTGCACCATCATCGCCATAATCGTCATCGTCCTCTTCATCATGTCTGCCACCTTCACCTGTTGTCGGCTCTCCCAGCAACTGACCACCGGGTTCATCATCGTCACTGCACACGTCACTTCCACACTCCTCCTCCAGCTGCCGTCGCGTTCTCTTCCTGACCGGTCCTCCCTTGCCATTGCCAAACACCTATAGTTTGTTAACTGTGCAAATTGTTCCTAGGTTTGTGCTATTTTCTTACCATGCTTGTATCTTCGCTGTTTCACTCCAAGTGTATAAATCCTATTGTAGTTTCATCATTGTCTTTAGTCACGATTTCCATTGATAATGGTGACAAAAAACGTTCTGGAATACATTATTCGTCCCGATGGTTGTGATATGAGTGCGCATTAAGTTATATTCATTGCATTATTAAGATTATTGTCTCCACGTCGCCTTTTTATCGAAGAATGTTTTTTTTGTTTTTGGGGGATGGATTCGTGCCTTGGAGAGGTCGTATGAGGCCATGCTGGAGGAGAATAAGTCTACCAAGACCTGGAAGCCTCCCTTCGGCGAAGTACTGAAGTTAGTATGTCCTGGAATCAATACAGGAATTGTTTTCAAGACGATGCAGTGTAATAAATTCTAGTAATGTAGTGCGTCATGGAATTCGGTGTGTTTGAAACTTCGGAACATGAAGAGGGCACGTTTGCTTGACTCGCTCATGACGTGAACAGATGGAACCCCACTGCTCTTATTCTAGAACATGTTCTCCCCTGAGGATAGCTTACAGCCAGATTTCCGTGCATAAGAAAAGAGCACAAATAAATCGTTAGACTGATTGCAATTCATCTTGGAGAAGGAGAAGGATAGAATTCGATCGTCTGCTACTCTCTCAATGCAAAGTTGATGACATAGCAGCTACATGTACGTCTCTTCATGCGTGTGCTCTTCACCTTGGGGATCAATGTGAGGATTTTAGGATTGCTGGAAATCAGATTCTGTATACTATTGGACAGCAGTTTCTGCATTGCACATGCTCCACAGTGCTCATCGGCAAGGATGTTGAATTTGCGTGTAACCCTTCACCACCCTGCTCTCCATACTATTCCAGATCAGCACTAAAAGAACATTAAAGTGCTTCATTTCCAGTAGAATGTGCTCCTCCAATAAGTGCGGCATTGGAGGTGGTGATATTTATTGCCACAGTTGCACTGCTGATATTCGTCATGAAAGAAGCAATGGATGTTGGTCAAGTCAACCAGTGGACTTGCAGTGATAAGCAAAGTACCGCAATACATCATCAAGTGTCATAGCATGGCGGAGTTGGTTGCTTGCAACACTTCCATGTTGGTGTTGTTAGTGTACAAATAGAGGATATCTTCCAGTCTCTAACTTTTAAAGCACATGGACCTGCTATAGGTGCTATTCTTTCAATGCTTGTTTCAAGTCTCAGAATTGTTTTGCTTCTTACAGCTTTGATTTAATTAATTCGCCGTATTGTAATTAATGTGAAGAAGAGGTTAAAGCGACTTCGGCGATACTTGTGGAATTGTGTGTTGCTCCCTACGTGGGAGGTTGCGCTATTCCTGCCGACTTGAATTCTCACTTGACCGACTTATTATTTTAAAATGAATTCATGGACATCTGTCAATTCAGCAGGTGACCTGCATTGCCATCAAGCCCTGAGCCAGCTCCTTAGGAATGGCACGGTCATGAAGATGCGTGATGCTGTGTATCTTATTCGCATCAGAATAATAACCTGGTTGTTTTGGCTACACACTCCGGTAGCAACAGAAACTCTGCATAATGCAGCTTGTACAGTAGTCCTCACTGAAGAAGAAAGCAGTTTAGGAGGAACTCTAGTGAGGAGTGTACGAGGATAGCCTATTAGTGTTCTACATAATCATTTGCATATTGAACATGTTACATGTAATTATCATGAACGCCGAGAGTGGTAAAACCGGGTACGGCCATCACCGGCGGCTGCGGCACTGTCCTGAGTGCCATGCTGTGCTTAGTGCTGATGCAGTGCAAGATATAATTATAAGCTGCATCATAGTTGCCGTTTGTTGTTGTTCAATTACTTTAAGTATTTCCGTATGGTCTTCACGCATGCAACTGTGTGCTTTTCAGCAGGATCGTCAACAGACTTCATTGTGCGAGGCCTAAATCTGCAGTAAAACTAGTAATACAAAAAAAACCATGCCTATCTGTCTAACATTTAAAATCTGTACACAATGTCCTGCTTCTACATGCATTTCGAAAGCATGGATTTCCAAAAATGTTCATTGGATGCATGTCTGATTTGTACTTGCTGACATCCAGAACGAAGCATGCACGGATCCCTCCTATGGCGGACGAAACCGGGGTCTTCGTTAGACATTGAGGCAGGAGAACACACCTCCACTCGTTCTGCATATATCAGCAAACACTTGCAACTGACGTCCAAGTACGCCACGCAAATCGACTTGGGCACGAAAACGATAATCTGGGAGGCAATGAAAATATAACTACGACGTAGGAAAAGGACAAACGTTTCAATCAAAATTGGCGTGAAGGCTGCCAAAAATTCTGCACTCCTTAGGAGGAAGCCTCAAATGTGAGCCAATTCTGATAAACGCAAATGGCCGGCACGAAGAGGAAGAACGAAATGAAAAAGATCCTAACTTCACTTTCCCATTGCGCAGTTTGACGATCAAAATATCTGCTTGCGCAGCTTGAAGGCAGGAAGGTGAATTCGCCGAGACTTCGCGAATCCAGCGTGGAAAACGGCTGGAATCGACAGAAACATAGGCGAAACCTTGCCGAATATTTCCAGAGATTTGAAAAAGGCAGCAAGGTCGTGTAAGACCGCATCATGGATCACTGGGTGACGGGGAAATGTCGTACGGTACATAATGTCGCTGGATTATGCATGCATAACAGCCGTGATACGTCTGTACCGTCGGTCAGTGTCGTGCGCTATTATCGCACGAGCTGATTGTTTAGTAACTGGTGGTGTTAATGGACTGTATAGCATAACGTGTAGTTCCTTGGTCCTTTATTTTGTGTATAAAATGCCGCTTTATTCTGTGCCTTATTGCATCTAGTTCTTTGCGCTATGCGCGTTTGACGAATCTCAGTGGCTCAGCATTTCAGAATAACAAGATCATTACGAATATGTAAGTCAATTTTCAAAACGAATCTCACTCTAAATGGCAATCAACAGTCCCCACTATGCGGTACTGATGCTTAAGGCTGCGTTTACACGATTGAAAACGATTTGCGTTTACACGACAACGAAATACTCATTGTACCCGCTGTCTCTGAGCGCATTGTTGTACATTTGAGATGCGTCCTGGAATGTCTCTTGATCCGTTGAAAAGTCTGTTAGTCATCGGCTGATGGAAGAGGGCAAATTCTGGATGATGATCGGTGGGTGGTTGGATTTGTGATGGACATACAGTAGCCGGTCGTTGGACTTCCGATATGGACGGTAATTGCCAGTGCGTAGGTCCAGCGTGATGTCTAGGAAGTCGACTGATGTCAGGTTTTCTGGATGGTAATTTTTAGTCCTAGGCTGTTGAAAACTTTGGTCATGTCCTTTCTGATCCTGTTCACTTCTGGTCCCGATACGTTCCGGAATACTGCCAGCCCATCGTTGCGGTAGAGTCCGATGTCACTGCCAATGTACACCTTGGATAGTTTGGCAAGGGCCAGCGTACCGACCAACTTACAGACTTCAGCACCGTCATAGCATCCCATCGTCACATCGAATACTCCGCTTCCCTTCTTCATACACTCTTTCCCGAGGCCGAATAGCAGGGATTTCCGTGCATGGAAGATTGTTTCCTGGTCCTCCGAAGACACCGACGTGAAGCCTCTGGCAAACTCCAACGACGTTAATAATAGTTCCTCCGAGATAGATGGGTAGAACTGCACGACATCAAAACATACAAAAACGCAGTTTTGCTTTTCCTCCGGCCCCTCGAACCAGTCGATCACGGCGGGTGTGTTCTTCCAGGCATTTGTTGGCAGTATTATTATTATTGTAGAAAGGAAAAGGACATATGGAAACGAGTTAAGAGTAACTCTCCACCACTGGAACTAGATACTATATACAGTCAGAAAGTTCTAGTTGTTGCACTTTCTGACTGTATATAGTATCTAGTTACAGTGGTGGAGAGTTACTCTTAACTCGTTTCCATATGTCCTTTTCCTTTCTACATTTATTATTGGCTCAATACCCGAGTTTCAAATTATTATTATTATTATGGGGGTGGCTTTATTGGTTTTGTGTTTGTATTATGCAGCATCCCGGGTCATTTAAGACCATGGGGAGTACTGCTGTTGTATGTGAAGAAAATGTAATAAGGAAGACTGAGAAAAAAGAAAGAAAAAAGAGAGAAATACTGTGAACAGCAAATCTACAATGATTCATGTACAATCATTGTAGATGTTATTATTATTATTATTATTATTATTAAGTTGATTGTTCCAACTAGGAACACAGTTCGTTCTAAGTTCGTATTATTATCATTATTATTATTATTATTCAAACAGTACGTTGGAGGCGGTGGGAAAAACAGTTTCGTAATACGTATTCGCATGCAACGGCGCAAATCCACACAATTCAGTCGACACTTTTTCTATCAAACGTTTTCTTTCCCTTCTCTTCAGGATAGTACAGGGAATGTTGGAAATTAGAAAAACACATAACTATATAGAGAATGAAAGAAAGAAAAAGTCAACACTTCAACATAGGTGTTAAAATGATTAAAGTGTTAAAAACTCAAAAACAAACAGCTGCAAGTTGTAGACAAACACGTTGAACACATCAGGGAACACTTGTCACACTTTCACGAGGTGTGACACCAAACAACTGCAACGATAACACATTCTCCTTCTGTACACATAGTTCTGGATCTAGCTTACGAATATACAGAGCTTCTAACACAGCAAGATGTAACTTAGACCTTCCACGAGTCAAAATCGAAAAGAGATCATCACTATACAACTTACGACAACTAGCACTGCCCGACAAATGACGCTTGATGGACGATGTCCGTTCACTTAGCTCTGTCACCGTCGACGCCTGCCGTTGTTCTCTTCCGTTAGGCTTGTTTGGTTGGTTGCTCCGGTCCACACCTCCAACGTCCGTTGATTTCATGTCCGTTTTTGTTGATTTCATGGCCGTTTTCGTGTCACTTCTTGGTCTTCCTCGTTTCCTCTTGTTGATCGTTGTTGTCACTTCCATTATCGACGTATTCAGATCCCCAGTACTCCGTCTCTTCACCTTGCTTCTAGTAACTCTTTCGGTGTCTATGAGCTCCAGTGTCACATTGGGTGGTTTTCGAGACGGTCTCCCTCGCTTCCTCACGCTTGTCCGAGATGGGCCAAGCTCCCCGCCCGTCGAGGCGGAGGCGCGCATGCGTACATCTACACTGGACGCAGAAAAAGGTGTTCCAGTATCGGACTGCACAGCACATTTTGGAGGACGGCCACGACGAGGACGAGTACCACGAGCGTCAACAGGGACAAGACCTAACGGCACATGTTGACGGATGCGTGCGCCCAGGTGTTGAAGGGTTCTACCTACGTACCGATCTTCACATTCTCGGCACTGAAAAAATAGATAAGGTTGCTTCTACTAAGGGTAGGTAGAACGTCCTTCTTCACACTGAACGCACGCGTCGTTCCAAATACTAAATACAATTTCACGCACGGGTAAGACGAACAGACAATGTTGCGCACCTCCTTCTCGACGCGCGCAGAACCAGCACCCACCCAGGGTAAGCGTAGTACCACGGGGCACCTGTCCGGTCCAAATGGTTTCGGATCCTGCGTGATTGATTTGTTATTAATAAGTTTTGTTAGTAGTGACGAGGGGTATCCATTGTTTGTCAAAATTGATGTGAGCCGCCTCAGTTCTTTTTGAAGAAGGTGAGGAGAGCAGATTCGATGGGCACGATAGACTAGTGCTTTGACAAGGTGAACTTTGGATTTAGTTGGTGTGTAGCTTCCCCATGGAATATACAAGCCAGTAAAGGTGGGTTTTCTGTAAACCGTCATGTCTAAACTCTTGGTGTCGTTGTTGCGGGTAATATTGACATCTAAGAAGGATATCAAACCGTCCCGTTCACCTTCTGCAGTGAATTTTAATGCAGGATGTAGTCCGTTTAGGGTTGTTAAAAAGTTCTAGCAGGTTTCTTGGTCCTCGTCGTGACAAAAAACATCATCTACAAAAATGTGCTGTGCAGTCCGATACTGGAACGCCGTTGTCTGCGTCCAGTGTAGATGTACGCATGCGCGCAGAAAACGTTTGATAGAAAAAGTGTCGACTGAATTGTGTGGATTATTATTATTTGAAACTCAGATGTTGAGCCATAACTAAATGTAAAAGAGAAAAGGACATATGGATACGAGTTTAGAGTAACTCTCCATCACTGTGACATGATACTATATACAGTCAGAAAGTGCAATAACTAGGCACAAAACTGACAGAGTACTGAGACATTCGACGTCCTGACACCTAACTTTAACACATCTCCATAGCGCTAACCGACAGCCTTCCAACTTGGAAGGTTCAAGGTTATGGAAAGACCAAAGAGGGGAAGGCAAGCGCAACGAAAACGAGCAAAAGCTACAGTCCCAACGGAACAAAGAATGTCGATTGTTACTGGACGATGACGAGACCAGTACGATATTTGACAAAGCGGTCTAACTACAATTCGAAGCAGCAAAGCAGCACACCACCCAACTTGGGTGGGTCATTATTATCAAAGATAAGTAAAGAAAGGGAAGCTTTGCGAAAACGAATTGTACAAGCCGAAAGCCAAACTCCTACAGTACTCCTCATGCATGACATTGTGATGGACTAGTTGAATACAAAACAAGTTGTTTCACACGACGTACGTTTCGCCGTATGGTTCGTGACGGCTCATCAGGTGTGCAATTTGAAACTCGGATGTTGAGCCATAACTAAATGTAAAAGAGAAAAGGACATATGGATACGAGTTTAGAGTAACTCTCCATCACTGTAACAAGATACTATATACAGTCAGAAAGTGCAATAACTAGGCACAAAACTGACAGAGTACTGAGACATTCGACGTCCTGACACCTAACTTTAACACATCTCCGTAGCGCTAACCGACAGCCTTCCAACTTGGAAGGTTCAAGGTTATGGAAAGACCAAAGACCAAATATTTGACAAAGCGGTCTAACTACAATTCGAAGCAGAAAAGCAGCACACCACCCAACTTGGGTGGGTCATTATTATCAAAGATAAGTAAAGAAAGGGTTGGGTGGTGTGCTGCTTTGCTGCTTCGAATTGCAGTTAGACCGCTTTGTCAAATATCGTACTGGTCTCGTCATCGTCCAGTAACAATCGACATTCTTTGTTCCGTTGGGACTGTAGCTTTTGCTCGTTTTCGTTGCGCTTGCCTTCCCCTCTTTGGTCTTTCCATAACCTTGAACCTTCCAAGTTGGAAGGCTGTCGGTTAGCGCTACGGAGATGTGTTAAAGTTAGGTGTCAGGACGTCGAATGTCTCAGTACTCTGTCAGTTTTGTGCCTAGTTATTGCACTTGCTGACTGTATATAGTATCATGTTACAGTGATGGAGAGTTACTCTAAACTCGTATCCATATGTCCTTTTCTCTTTTACATTATTATTATTATTATTTTTTTTTTTAGAATTCCGATCAACATAATGAGCTGAACCGACATTTTCACAAAGGCTTTTATTGTATTCAAAAAAAACGAGTGGATACGAAGGCAGTGAAGAACATGGAAGAAAGAAAAAATTTGATATGGAAGAAATGATGAACAAAAAAATTGTACTTCGAACTAGGTTTCGCACAACACTCCTCAGGAAGCTACGTTGTACTAATGAAAAACAATCCAGAAAGATACTAATAAAGAGAAATGGAGTGAGAAGAAACAACACCTATGAAAATGATAATCCTAGCACTAAGGTAATAACAGGAAAAACTGCGAAAGCACTTAACGAAATTGTAAGGACTACTAGTATACTGTGACACAAGATATGACACCATGGCCAACCAGAGCCAAACAGACAGAACAAGCTGCTACTAAAACAATTTCAAACGAATAACGCTGTCCTTCTGGACACACAGATTAGGCTTATGAATACGTTGACAAACAGCTTCTAACACACTC